TACAAGTAAAATTTATGCAGTAGAGGAGTGGACCAGGTGGTAGCCACAGGGGTGTATACATATATAAAATTTCACACCAAAAGATCTGTGTACTTTACTATATGTAAATTGTATCTCAATTAAAATAATCAATAATTTTTAAAAAGACGTAACACATTGTAGTTAAAATCACCTATATTCGTCTCCCCAACTCCATTCCCCTCCCTCCATTGCAGAAACAACACCCTCAATAAAAATAATGAGACTGAATAATTACTTCACCTGTATTCTGTGTTTTACAAGTATTAATTCATTTAAGCTTCCCAGCAACCCTATGAAGTAGGCACAGCTATTACCTTTCCCTTTTACAGATGAATAAACTGAGGCACAGAGCGGTGAAGTAATTTGTGCTGGGTCTCACTGTCAGTGCGTGGTGCTGCCAGGATTTGAACCCAGGTAGCTTGACACTCTCAGCCAGGATGGCAGGCACACTGAGAGCATGCTACTCCATACATTTCCACAAACTGCATAGTTTCACTTTCTGTTTTCTTAATAATTGATATCAATAGTATCAAACCGTATCATTTTTAAAAATTTTATTTTATTATTTTCAAGTATACTGTACATTGGTTAGACATTTATACAATTTATGAAACGATTCCCCTGATTGCTCTTTCTCTCATCTGGCTCTCCATCTAGCCATTACATTAATGCTGACTGCATTCTCTATGCCATGCTCCCCATCCCCGTGACCATCTATCAATTATTAATTTGTCCTTCTTTAATCCTTCACCCCTTTCTCCCAGGCTCCAACCCCCATCCTCTCTGGCTGTCATCAGATTGTCCTCTATATTTGTGAGTCTGTTTTTGATTAGTTTGTTCTTTTTGTTCCTTAGATTCCACATATAAGTGAAATCATATGGTATTTATCTTTCTCTGTCTGACTTATTTCACTCAGCATAATAACCTCTAGGTCCATCCATGTTGTTGCAAATGGTAGGATTTCATATCTTTTTAATGGCTGAGTAATATTCCATTGTATATATGAACCATAATTTCTTTATCCAATCACCTGTTGATGGGCATTTAGGTTCCTTCCATATCTTGGCTATTGTAAATTGTACTGCCACGAATACAGGGGTGCATAGATCTTTACGAATTATTGTTTGAGTTTTCTTTGGATAAATACCCAGAAGTGAAATTGCTGGCTAAAAGGTATATCCATTTTTAATTTTTTGAGAAACCTCCAGACCGTTTCCCATAGCGGCTGTACCAATATGCAATCCCACCAACAATGTATGAGGAGTCCCTTTTCTCCGCATCCTCGCCAACACTAGTTGTTCTTTGATTTATTAGTGATAGCCATTCTGACAGGTGTCAGATGATATCTTATTGTGGTTTTAATTTGTATTTCTCTGATGATTAGTGAACTTCAGCATCTTTTCATATGTCTATTGGCCATCTGTATTTTTTCTTTGGAGAAGGAACTGTTCAGGTCTTCTGCCCATTTTTTAATTGGATTGTTTGTTTTTTTGTTGTTGAGTCGTATGAATTCTTTATATATTTTGGATATTAATCTCTTATCAGATGTATCATTAGAAAATATCTTCTCCCGATCAGTCAGTTGTCTTTTTGTTTTGTTGATGGTTTTTCTACTTGCTTTTTTTATCCTGCTCAAGGAGGTGTTTTTGACCTTAGCCTTGTTGATGCATTTAGTTCTTCTAGTGTCAGATAAATTACTCTCATTTCTTTCTCTAGTCCTTACTGGTGGAGACTTGGTTTGCAAAGAGCCTTATCTTTGGAGAAACAATCCTCATTCAGTTCCTCCACTGCTAAGAATCCATGGGTGGCTCGCACAGTCCCCAGGGTGAAGTTTGAGCTCCGCCTCCACCATCTGCGATTTCTGGAGCCTGTCCCCCACTCCAGGTTCATCAGCACTACAAACCCTAACCATGCCCTATGATGCCAGGTTTGTTCATCCGTCTGTTCATCCAGTGGCTTTTTATTAAGCATCTTCTTTGTGCTAGTCCCTGTTCCAGGAGCTGGGGACCCAGTAGTGAACAAGACAGACAATGTTCCCTGTCCCCAGGGAGCTGACATCTTCCTGATCAAGACACGGAAGAAAGAAAATAGTAGAGTCAAATTTATTTAAATTTGCAAGCAATAAAAATCGAGTTATTCGAGGGGTAGAGTTTGGCAGGGTGGAGGTGGGGCTTGTTTTAGGTGGAGATGCAGTGAGGGAAGACTTCTCTAAGAAGGTGACATTTGAGCAAAGATAGAAATGACATGAGAAAGAGAACGCTAAGATGAGGAGAAGCATTGCAGAAACAGCTAGTGCAAAGGCCTTGAGGTAGAACTAGACATGTCTAAGGAGCAGGGAAGAGGCTGTGAGGCCCAAATGGATTGAATGAGGTGTTATGAGGGCAGAGAAATCAGGACATGCCAGGTTCTCCCTCACCCACCTCTAGGCCTTTGCTCCTGCTATTCCTCCCACAGACACCCTTTTTCCCTTTATTCACTTTGCAAATTCCTAACTTGTCCTTCACAACTCGACTTCAGTGCCAGCCTTTCTGCCTCCTCCAGAGTGGGGTCGCTGCCTCCTCAAAGCCTCCACAGGCTTGGAATATCTTTTTCCTGACACCTCACACTGTGCCCACTTGCTCATTCCACAGAGACTGAGTGAGCATAGGCCAGACGCTGGCAATTTCAAAAAGGAGTAATATTAAAAATAAATAAAAACGGGACCATGGGCCAGGTACGACAAGGCATAGAGGTACTTCGGGAAGGTCTCTCAGAGAAGGTGACATTTAAACAGAGACCTAAGTGATCAGAAGAGGCCAGCCTTGTGGACATAATGGAAGGGCATTCTAGACCAGGGAACAGCCAGTGCAAAGGCCCTGAGGTTGGAAATAAGGTGAGAATATTTGAGGAATAGAGAGAAGGTCAGTGTTGCTGGTTGGGGGCGAGGGGTGTAGAGAGGGATGTGGCTGTATAGATGGACAGAGACCTGACAGGTCCACCTTGTAGACCAGGTGAGGGATGAGAAGTTTTTCCTAAAAACTCTAGAGAGCCGGGAACAGGTTTTCCAGCAGATGGAGGCAGCGGGGGGTGGATGTGATTTAGGGTTTCCAATGCCCCAGAGAGGATTGGAGAGGGGCCAGAGCAGCTGCAGTTATCATATTTGGTTGACATTGTACGATCAGTCTTTGGTCTCCGAGTTTCAAGCCTGGAGTGCAACTCTGTTTCCAGTGCCACCAAAGTCCCTAGCGGGCATCGATAAATAATCACTGAGTAAACGAATGCCGGAAAGTTGGAGTGAGAATTTGGCAGGGTTCCCTAGCTCCATCCGGGGAGGCAGCCTGGAATCTGCAGGCAGCAGAGGGCCCATCTCTGGGCAGGATGGCCTAGTCCCTGGGCTGACTCAGCCTTACTGTGCCACATCCTCCCCATCTGTAAAATGGGTGGGCTGGAGAATTAGAGGAAAATACCCTCTCCCTCATGATGGCAAGGGCCTTAAACATCCTAGCTCCATAATTGGGGTGAGGTACTTCTCTCTGAGTCTCAATTTACTCATCTGTAAATCCAGAGCAAAAGAACTAGCTCAAAGGGTTATTTTATTCAATCGATAAATATCTGAGAAACAGCCAGGAGGCCAATGTGATTGGAGGGAGTGAGCAAGTGGGAGGTGGGAAGAGAGGAGACCGGGAAGGTGGAGGAGCCAAATCCTGCAGGGCTTCGTGGGCAGTTGTTAGGACTTTGGCTTTTACTCTGAAGAAGGTGGGAGCCATAGAGGAATCTAGGCAGAGGAAGGACGTAAGTTGACAAAGGTGTTCATAGACACCTTTGATCTGTTGTGGGGAAGACGGACTATGAAGTCCAAGGCGGAGCTGAGAGACCTGGGGGGTGGTGACTGCACTGGTCCAGGGGAGGGAAGACAGAAACTGGACTCCTTGGGGACTTCGGGAGGGAAGAGAAGTGGGCGGATATGGGTTTGTTATAATTTCACCTCCTCCTTCTTTTCTTTTTCTTTGCTACCTCCCCCCTCCCGAGAAGAGTCGCCCAAAGAAAAAAAATGAAATATATCGCGCCCTGGTCTCTGGGACGACGCAAACCACGCACAGCTGCGAGTAACCAAGGTACCTGCAGCTTTCTGCTCTTTGGCAGGTCCCGGGAGGGCGCCAGTGTGCAGACACCGCCGCCAGCGAGCGCTCCCCGCCTGGAGCCCCGGGGACCTCGGTTTGGCCCAATCACCGGCTTGTAAGGGAGTGCGGGGTGGGCCACGAGCCAAGCTGCCCTCTGCAGAGACTCCTGGAGAAGCTCCGCAGAGACCTCCACCCTTTACCTCAGCTTGGGCACGAGTCTGCATTTATGGAGCTCCACCTGCATACAGCAGCCTCGAAGAAGAGGCCGGTTCCCATTTTACAGCGGAGAAAACTGAGACTCAGCAGCCACAGGATCTACAGGGCCCACAGTGAGTCAGTGATGGAGTTGGGATTCAAACTCCTTTTCATAACAACGGCAATAACAAAAATGACGACAGCTAACACTTATTAAGTGCTTACTGTGTTCTCAGCACTTGGTCCTCACGATCTCATTTTATCAACACCCGAGGGGTGGGTGGGAAATCACGTTTTACAGATGAGGAGCTCTTAGGGCTTTGGAGCTCCCCCAAGGCATGGGGAGCTGGGATTTGAACCTGTATCTGCCCGGAGTTTGTCTGCAGGCAACGGAGGAGCTCCTGTGCCTTTGAACTGGGGCCCGGTAGACCAAATGGGTCTGGGAGGCCTGAGCTTGCAAACACAGGAGGGATGAACTGTTTCTTTCTAGAGGGGTCCTGGGAGGCCCAAAGGCCTCCGCCACTCCCTGCTTTAAGGGGCCTCACTCTTTTCGGGTTCTCCCACGCTCAAATGGGTAACCCGTGAGCAGAAAGCGGATACAGAAGGGCGCGAAGAGCAAAGAGGTACTGGTGGCTGCAGAGAGGGGGCGCAGAACAAGCAGGACCGGCAGGACCCCGCAGCCCCGGGGGCCGCCGGGAGCCCCGCCCCTTCCCCACCCTCCACGTTCTGCGTGGGGCGCAGGCGCGCTCCTCCCGCCGCCCCTAACTCAGCTCGGGGACCCCTGGCGGGCGGCGCGAGGACATGGCCAGCGACGCCGTGCAGGTA